TAAGAGTTTAAAGTCTTCTTTATCAAAGCGAGGGAAGGAGCGCTTGATAAAGTTCAGTATTCCAAAAGCCTTTTTCTGGGCTTTTTGGTGGTGAAAAGAAAAAGATAGAGAGTTAGGTAGCCAGAAGCCAAGGATCTTGTGCTGGTTGACAGTCTGAAGTCGGGATGTGTTGCATACATTGAAGGTGTGCGCGCAGCCCCTGCTGAAGGACATACTTACACATTTATCATCATTTATTGGTAGGCTCTAGTCTGATGATCATGCTTTGGTGATATCCATGGCTGCCTTCACTGCTGATGTGTCACTCCCCCAGATTGTGACATCGTCAGCATAGATAGCAATGTGGACAGAGATTTTGTCTGGGAGGTCATTTATGTATAAGATGAAAAGGAGTGAACCTAGAACGGATCCCTGGGGAACACCTATTGTCTTCGGGGAAGAGTTGGAGAAGGAGGTTCCTGTACTAGCAGAAAAGGAGCACGAGGATATAAAGCTGCCAAGAACATTAGGAAGCTTGCCTCTAATATAATACATTTCCAGCTTGTGCATTAGTGAAAAACGTGGTACTCGAGCAAAGGCTTTGGCAAAAGCTATGAAGATTGCATGTGAGATTTTTCCTTCAACATAGACCTGGGTTAGACTTTCCATGACATACAGCATATTGGTGATGCATGATCTGACAGGAACGAAGCTGTGTTGAAAGGGAGAAAGAAGGTTGTTTTCCTTCAGGTGTTTAATGATATATCTCTTAATGAGACGTTCAGAACTTTGCTGGGGACGCTGTTTAGACTTATCGGTCTGTAGCTGCTGGCGTGATGCCGAGGTCCCCTTTTGTAGATCGGTGATATGATTGCCTTTTTCCAGGCATCAGGGAATTCAACTTTATCCAGGCAATTTTGAAACAGCCGTCCGTAATGTGGGGCTAGTACAGCTGCTGTTCCTTTGAGTATTCTCGGATGGACCTCGTCTGGGCCAATTGAGCTATAGGGATTTAGAGAAATATGAATACTTCTTCGGTCTGAACAATGAAGTGATCTAAAGGGGTTATATCGGACTTGGGCTGTAGAGCAGGAAAGAAGGTAGGTGGAGCGGAGTTGAAAATATCTTAGAAGTGAGTTCGGAAATTATCCGCTACCTCTTCAGGTGAGGTAATTGAGGAGCTGTCAGGAAGTTTTAGGGCTAAAGTAG